GTAGTGGCATATTGTCCTACACATCCCTGCGAAATACAATTACAGAAAAATATAAATAGATTGGTTTATAGTATTTAGTTAACACACTTTTTTCTGTTTCTAAAAATAATCCGGACCAAGGTTTTTGAAGATTTTCCTCTATTTCATATGGGATTTCCTTCTAATATCAACCATCCCTTGAACTATAATTTTCTTTGGCTTCCCCTTGCCAGCAGTTTGAATATCTATATATGCCCAAATAAGGAGTCCACTACTTATACTCTAAACAAAAAGGGATTAATCCTCTATTGCCGAGCTATATATTATCATTTGTAGGGTCTCCAGTCAGATCAGTGGTCAAGGCTCACCGGACTGACTCTACCTAATCCTATTGTTCTAAATGTCGCGGTGTGGTGATCACCCTGTCAGTTGGGAGAGGACTATACCATCTGTTGGAATTAGGTTTATAGGTATAGTGTTATGTCAAAGGTAGAGTCCATTTCATGATAGATAAAACTGTATTTCACCAGTGGTTTCATGTACGCATGATCACCAGGAGTGATTTATTATACCAATTAAAAAATATATATTTCAAAAATTTCAAAGAAAATGAAGCACCCTCCTTAGCATCACTTTATCAGGTGTATAATAACCAATGTTAGTATATAAGCCTAGCATGTTTATCCTTTTCATTAGGTATTGCCCTTGTACATATGTATGCGTGCAAACTCAGTAAAAGACAAACAGTTAAATCATAATTCATATTTATGACAAAATATATCAATATCAAATTGCCAAAATGCTCGCCTAAACTACATACACATGAAGGGCATGACACACACATCAACATTTTAACCAAAAACCTACATTTTTACCATTGTTTTAGAGAATTTGTTAACACTCGCTCCGCTCGGCCATCACAAAATATAGATACTCTATGTTATAAAATATAACCTGGAAATACCGCAAACTCAGAAACCTATCCTATAAATAAATAAATATACAACATTTGATATAGCGCCCTCTCTAGCTAACATAAGCCACTCTAAATTGCTTTACAGTACATAGATATACAATTTTATACAGTCAATACAATTAGCATATATATTAATCAATACAATATTGAGGAATTCGCAGGAGCTGCCTTATCAGGCGTTAGCTACTAGTCCTATGTCACCTGGCTAATATCTCCCTATGTGTGTATGCCTGTGTGTGTGCTGGAGATGCATATTGTGTTCTGTTTGTAGTGGGACCGTGCTTCCAACGGTATCATTTATAGTGCCACCTCACTTGAATGCTACAGCACAGATACCGCAACACCCACTATGCCTCACTCGAACTGTTTGACTATGAAAACAATATCCGATAAATTCTTGCTTTCTACGGGCGGCAGTCTTTGAAATAGTTCAGTATAACATCTTCAGAAAAAAATCGACTTGCTCCGCTCGCCGTGGAAATTATAATTGTCACAATTTCAGAAATAATGAAGTTCTATATATTATTTGGTGCCAGAAAGCAGTAAACATGAACAATCGACATGACAATTCTAAGTAATCAGTTCTAGATAAGTGTAAAAAATTGCATTTTTCTGAGTTTAAAATTTTGGGCAACACCCAAAATTAATTCATGGGTCCCCCCTGGAGTGGTTAGCTATAAAAAATGTAGGAGAAATTTCCGGACAAAAAATCAAATACTGAAATGAACAAAGGGCGATAACTTTTGGAACAATTGTAAAATCAAAATTCTTTTAAGGGAGACACAACTTTATATCATGATTATAGTGTATACCAAGTTTCACAGTGATCGATGGAAAAATGTAGGAGAAGAATGCCGGACAAACAGAAGTTTACGCCGGCCGGACGAACCCATACCATTTAATACTCCCATCAAATTTGACGGGCGTATGAAAACGTCATTATCTGTCGTTTCGGTGCAATAACTGAAACACATGTTAACCGATTTTCTTCAAACTTAATACCTGGGTTAAATGCCTTAAGGGCTAAACCAAGTTCGATTACCACTTTCAGCAGACTCTATTTGGCGGAGTTATGGCCCCTTGAATAACGAAAAACAATATAAATGTTCTATAAAAAGTCAAACTTCTGTATAAGGCTTTTTCTTCTTCTTCGAGTTTCAAGCTATACATTATGTCTCAACAGCACGATACTCACATGTTTAAACCCAACCTCAATAATGTTTACCTAAAAAACATGTATGTCCTGCAAGCGGGGGATATAAATTCCACGAATTTGCTCGTTAATTTTGAGTTTTTCTTCAAATCTTCTTACATATTATGACATAACCAGACCATTACACACTGAAAAGTAACCTTTCGTCTTTGTTACTTTGGGATATTTACAACATCATGTAGTTTGGAACAATGCACATTTTTAAGTCGACACATTGGTTCGTGTTTTAAAATAAAAACGAAAGAATGGTTTTGCAGTGATGCCAAGTTCTCCGGTCTAGAGAGCGCTACCAGTCTGATAGTGCCAATCTCCTAAATTCAACAAAACCATTAATGGGATTTAAAACATAACCTCAACAATATAAATGCAGAAAAAATAGAACCTCACAACGACCAAATTTCAAAACTTTCAGACAAAGTAAAATATGAATGCTCGAAACAACAGAAATAAAAGCGTCTCCGAACAAAACTATTGGAATGAATGAAGAACAATTGAAAATATGAATAAAATGTCTGTAGATTGGTCAACACAAAATATAACTTACTGTAACTTTGCATTGATTTTCTTTTCTCTTCATGTTTTTAAACTTGAGCATAACAGAACTTTAAAATGAATCGTAGACGACCGCAGGTTTCCATTTCATCTTCGATAGACACGTGTGTCGCTTTGTGGGCGGGCTAAACACGTGGGTCTTGCTTTCATTGGTCGGAAATTCGTCTTTGATTGACAACATTCTTCGATTTTGATTGACAGATATTTACGAAAAGTAATTGTTTATACAATTACGTATCTCATTCAAAAACTGTTAATTAAATGCCATCTTATGTACATGAATATTTTAGATAAAAATGACTTATCGGCCGATTATTTTTCGCGAAATAGACAATAAAGAAGTGTTTTTTTCTGCGCTACATATTTAAACTCGGAATCGATGATGAAGTTCGTTATTAATGCTATGCTCTTTTGTAAACTTAGCATATAGTCTGTCAATGAGAAATAGGATGCTTGCTAATGAAAACGAAAACAGAAAAAAAGCGATTTGAAATTATAAACAAATAGAAGCAGACTGTGGAGTAATTGAGGAACAAATTGTTATCGGACAGATACGCTTACAAGTTAAGCTCAAAAAGAAATGAGATTGCGGGGTTTTCATATCCCCTACGGGCCCAGAGCATTACTGTAACAACTATCTGTTATGACATATTCCAGGGGTGTGTAGAGAGCGAAAGTGAGCGTAATCCCTGGATATCTAGGATGCCATGGAATATGTCATAGCAAAATTGAAGGCTCGGTGTGCGCCACCTTGTTGATGAGACAAGAAGACAAGTTCGATCCCTTGATGTACATCAAAAGAATCTTGCGGTCACGTAATGGTAAACAATGACAGACTTTGAAGTCGGGCGTCTCTCCTTTGTAATCTTTAAAGGACAGGTATCAGCTCAGCGATTGGTCAGGTTTTTTTACCAGAGACCAATCAAACAGCTATCTTCGTGCCTTCTATGACATATTCCAGGACCCCTGGATATCGAGGATTGGGAAGGTACAGTGTATCTTGATACTAGTTTTCCGTATGCTGGAGTACATACTATGCATCAGTCGTGATACAGTATCATGCTATAATTTGTAATATAAAACGTGGCTTTTAAGGAGTGCGTTATCCACTCGACCGGGTGGAGCACGGTGGATAACGCACTCGCCTTTCACAAAGGCGACCGGGGGTTCGGTTCTCCGATCGGAAGTGAACAGTTATGCCGAGTTAATTGCGACCGCTTTTTATAAACTTTATTCATTTTACAACAATTATGAAACAAGTTTCATAATTGAAATCTGAAGTTACAACATAACTAACACTCACTGCTTTTAACATGTTTTTGTCCTATAGCAAATAACAAAACATAAGTAACGCACTATAGCACAAGACCCACTTCCATCATCGTCGGTATCGACGGAGGAAGTTAAAGAGATGAAGATGAAGATCTGCCCGACCACCTGTTTTTTTCTGGGCATTCCGGTTTCTTCCCACTTTTAGATCCCCCCGTGCGCTAACATCCAGGCCATCAAGAGTGATTAATATAAGTTTTAATAACTTAATTGTTTAATAATTGTTGTAAAATGGATCAAGTTAAAATATCAAGTTAGTTTTTTTCAAGAACAAACTTCATCATTATACCAAGATATTCCTTGTTGTGTGTATGTAATAGACCTTTACACTTCAAGTTGGGAAACAAGGGCAGTGAATGATGAAGAAAACACATATGTAAAAAAACATTTTTATCATTAATCTAGACAGAGACGTGTATTATACCACGGAATTAGATTATCTAAGTCCGTGATTATACCTCTCTGATCCAGAGGATAAAAGCGTCATGCAGATAATAACATTAATGATTCAGTACCAACCGTAATAGATCTACGATCTCTGAAAATAATATATAAAATTAAGAACTCCGAAGTGCAATTGGTTAATTTTTAATTGGGAGTAAAAAGTTCCAATCAATGTAATTTCGCGTTTATAATAATCACTTTTGTTTCCTGATGATAGGCCTATACAATGTAGCTAGTGCTGAAATATGGAAGGACATGGTCGGTCAGATGACCCTGAGCGGTGCCTCAAATCCGATCAAGGATTTTTGCCATCATTCTAAAAAGTGTATACATGTTTGACATTTAACCATTCATCTGGTCTGAATATGTCTGTTTGTTAAGAAAATGCACTGTAAAGCATAAAAAATATTTTTACAACGTAGTAAAATAGACCTTAATCAAAGGGCCATAACTCATAAAAAAATCAAAGCCGGAAGCTTATGATGTCATTTTCATTCAACACGCATGCTCAAAGGGAGTAAATATGGCGACTTTCCGCTTAGATGTTTTACAGTCTGTCACATCCGTATCACAGAAAAACTGTTTTACAGCAAACCATGAGTTGGATTAACTAGACTGACCATCACATTTACATACTAAACATAAACTGTATCTCTGAATGAATCCAAATGTGAAGGCACTCGGAAAACTAGAAGCCACGTAACATCATCGAAATGTCATTTCTTAGCAGTTTTCGTAAACTTTTTCGTTTAGGTGGGGAGGATGCGAAGAAAAAAGAAGCTAATAAAAACATCAGACGGGACATAGACCCTACACAGCTCTGGGAAGTTATTGGGGAGCTCGGGGATGGAGCATTTGGGAAGGTTTACAAGGTAAGACTAAGTAAGGGTATCACGTTGACGCATGATTAATACACGAGGGGTGACCCATATATTTACGTTGAACGAGTTCACTTTCAAGTTGACACCGTGTTGAAGTTACATTTTGCCGGAAGGAAGAGTATCAATTATGATTCACATTTGTTTTTCACGATTGTATCAACATTATCTACTTGACCTTAATCATGATGAATTTTTTTTTTTGGAAATGACGATACAACAACGCAATGTCGTTGACTATTGACATTCATTAGAAATATGTGGATGAAAAAACCCACCGATATTTAGATTTTGGTTAACGCCCTAACCTACCGTATCACAGCCAAATATACATGGGCGGTGTAATTCTATTTTTATGTATGATTCACATATTATACTTGTTGTCCAATTCATAATATGGATTGTGCATATATATTTTGGCCTACATAAATACGAGGCCTACGCGAGACTGTCGATTTTGACATCATTCATGTTTGTTTACACTTCAGTGATTTAGCGAATGTAGCTGTCACTCCTGTGCTAACTAGGAAGTAAAAACTGAACTACAGTAGTGCATCTAATAATAGCCCTCTTCATTCAATATATTATGTATACTTCATAATCAGCACCAAAACATAAATAAGTTTCATATATTATTTTTCTCAAATTACAAAAGGTGTCCAATATGAGTAATAATTATAAGGGCATACATGTATACATGAACATAATCTTTAAAAAAATTGAGTACCCCTCAATGACAAATGAAGAGATTTTGACCAATTTTGTCATATGAAACATGCCTGGGAAAAGGGAAGCCAGTCATATAAATATGAAGGATATGCCTCCCCTGATTAGGGAGGGACAAAGCCAATTAAACAAAAAGAAATTTGAAAAAAACTACTGTTTTAAAAATAGGAGTGAAAGAATTGAAAAGAATTTGGTAAAAGCATCCCTGAGACTTGATATGATAGATGCTGGCATTGTATTTTGAAGTTGCTGTGGTAAGTCTCCTACTGGAATGACCAGAAATTAAAGGAGTCAGTACATCAGTATTTGCACTTTGTCCAGCACATCTCATATAATTGATTCTTTTGTTGCCAAACTGTTTACTAGACTAGTTTGTGAGTATCTCTTTGGCATCTTGCATTGGTGCAACACTTTATCCAGAGTTTTGGCCCTTCTTTCATGGCGCATCACTGTGTCACTTTTAATATCCAAATGTTTATGCAAGTAAACTCCGGGGATGGCAGAGTGTTGCATTCTGATGGTTTCTGGTTTTTTTTCTGTTCAGGATTTAACAGTGTCACAAAAAGCTGATGTCATTTATGAAGACAAGAGCCAAAAGAGACACTTTCATATGAAAGAATTGGTGGGAGAGAAAATGGAATAAAGAGATCCCAAAGGTTACACTTAAAGCGGTGGCTGCAGATCAATTTTGTTTTCTTCTCTGCCCCTTAACTTATCAGAAAACACAGAAAGTAGACCTATTCTTGCCTTGAATCTGTATTCAAGTATTGTCACTCACTAAAATCAGCTACACATGGATTCAGAGTTGTAGCCCTTTTGCTCACAATGTGTCACTTTCTCTAGAGCTGAGGACCCCACTGGAGCAAATATATCATATTATACAGTACTTTAATTTGTCACCTACATTTACCAAATTTTGTATGTTATGGGATGAGGTACGAAATTTGGTATAGTGTCCCTTATCAGAGTTATGGCCCTTTATTTTTTTTTATATCAAATTTGCCCAGTAGCTATAGGTGACTTGATTTCTCCAAGTATTCAGCAGTGTTTTTCAAGTTGATTTGGAAATAGCCACGCACCCTATCCTCTCATTGGTTGAGACATTTAAGTCTAATTTTTTATTCAATCAGGTTAATTTTAACTAAATGTTGTTAAAATTAGATATTCTTATCATTGCCTTATTAACTATAATTAATTAGGCTTGTGTTGTTATTTCGATTTTTTATGTTATTAAAAAAATCTGAGGTAGCTGCCATGGTTTCACTTTAGCAGAAGTAGTTTGATTTCATGTTTGTTTCTACACGTAGTTCAGGTATTAAAAGAGACTTTAAGTGAGTGGAACAGGTCTGACAGGTGATAGCTAGGTATTGGTTTTACATAATGATAAACACGTAATGTACTTCTGATCGGTACTACATTATCATAACTGCATAAATTTCACTTTCACACGTGTGCTTGTCTTCTGTGACAGTGTCTGTACAGGTGTAAACTTTGAATGTAAACAAGTTCTCTGTTGACTTTGAAGGTCATAATCAAATAAGCCATTCACCCCTAAAGTCACATTTGAACCATATCAAATCAAAGACTGGAAAAGTTCATTTTAAACATGAAGGGGTGAATGGGTTAACTATTTATTGGAAAATGGAAACACAATTAATGTATGGCCATTTACTATTAAGTATAGTACATAGATCTACATGTATATCATTATCTAAAGGCTAGGTAGTCGACTGTCCTCAGTCACGTTTGATGTTCTAGTACAGTTGAACTGAAAAAATCTAGAGGGTCGGCTTGAAACTTGGAGTATTTGGTCTCAACATTTTTTACCTGTGACAAATTTTAACGACCTGTGATGAAATCACAAAGCTTTTATTTACAAGTGCACTATTGTAGTAAAACAAGGATGAACATCTAATAAACTCCACAGTATTACTGATCAATGAATTAGTTATCAGTGGCCAGATAAAAAGAGATAGATTGTATCTTTATAAAGTCAATATTTACTTTAGATAAACACTCTGTATGTAGGTAAGTACCAATGTGTTAGTTCATACATGTGTTGACTGTTGACTCAGAGATATACAGCCTTTCTTATCAGTCAGATTGTTATTTTTTACAGTAATCAAATAAATGTTGAGTGTATAATGCATTAGTCGTGTTTCACTGTTCATAAACTTCAGACTTAAGGTTTAAGTACACATATTATGGTAAGCAATGTCACATGAATAACAGTGATTTATATACTGAAACATTCTGTCTGTCATTTAATTAAAATAAAAATGTACACTACATCGGATTTGGCTTGGTGGTTTATAGGGTTTAGCATCCTATTAAACAGCTAATTAAGGTCATTCGAGGTTGTGTTTTGATCCTTGTCACTTGTGGATAATGTACTGTATATATGCATGCATATATGGGTTCTGGAGGCAGAATATTGGTGTATTTGTCTCCTTGCAATAATTAATAGCACAGAATGAACTCTGATTTCAGCTTAGACAGAATTTGAACCATTTCAATGAAATACCATGCTGAATGCATGCAGCACAGCATTCCACCAGGTTACCTTTAATATATACATGTACTGACAACGGGTCAACCAGTTGTTATGATTAACCTAAATGCTGAACGTTAATAAGCAGGGAGTGACAATTACCATTTTTAAGGAATTGGGTATGTATGTATGTCCTGGCCCGGGGACAGAGCCATTGCCTTCCCTTTGGCAAATGTCCTACAACAATTAGCCAAACGTGAGGTGCTGTGATCAAAAATACATTGAAGAATATATATTTGACAGTCCTGATTCATTCAAACACAACTAGATGTACTGGAGCAAATAGTTTAACTCATTCACCCCTGAACTTTCATAATGAACTATTCCAACCTTGGAGTTGGAAGAGTTCAAATGTGTCTTCAGGGGTGAATGAGTTAAGGAGCTGATCATTCTCAAAAATATCACTGGCATTCTTTTAAATTGAAGCAGCATTACCAACAAGGAAATGTCCACATTAATTGGATCATCAGTGACCTCACTAGAAATTTTGATTCACATGGAAATTTCCACTTTGACTTAATAGCCTAAAGTAACCAGTACATGTAACCTTGTATTAAAAGGACATGTATATATATGTTCACAGTTGTACAAGCAGTATGAAATTAAGTACAACCATCAGACTTTCTCACAAGACTACCTCCTATAAATTGTTCTCGCACAGATGCTTTAATTATAGACGCATCATATATGCATGCATCATTACAGTAATTATAGAAGTTCAGCTGTCCATATTGAAAGTGAAAATAGCTTTCCTCTTCTCCATCACTTATGCATGCTGTGTGTACTGAATTCCACTAGAATTAAGATATGTCACCGACAGCTGATCTGTGGGGGAGGGATTTGGTGGGGGTGGCATGCATGGGGTCATTGTTTTGAAATACAATTACTACCCATCTTGTTTACCAGTATATCGATCATGATACAGGGACCAGCCCAGGTTGTCGATAAGTCTAGAGTGTTTGAACCCTGTGTGCTGGTAGGTCTGGGTTATAAGTCTAGAGTGTTTGATCCCTGTGTGCTGGTAGGTCTGGGAGATAAGTCTAGAGTGTTTTAACCCTGTGTGCTGGTAAGTCTGGGTGATAAGTCTAGAGTTTTTGAACCCTGTGTGCTGGTAGGTCTGGGTGATAAGTCTAGAGTGTTTGAACCCTGTGTGCTGGTATACATAGGTCTGGGTTTTGATCCTCGGCATCAGGGTATACAATGTACGTAACTTTGTGTGGGGGCTGCTGAACAGGGTCTTACTAAAAGTAAAGGAAATTTAGGTTTTGTTATATTTGTATTGGACCTCTCCTTGGTAAAATGATCACTTGTCTATGTCTGGATTTGTGTTGTATGTTTGTACAGTATGTGAAACAAAATAGATATTAAACAGTAGGATAAAGACCTTCACTCAGGAAGTCATTGTTTAAAACCCCCAAAAACAGGTAACAAGATGGCTCATTGGTACAGCTATCGTTAGAAGTATACATGCAGCTTTGTAATTCTCGTAAACTCTTCAACCACAGAAATTCAAAAGTGCAAAGAACTTGTCTTTTTATTCATGTACATGTTGGAATGCTGCATTAAAAGTCTTTATATATAACATGTTGTCAAGTAATGGTACATGTACATGTATATAGGTAAACAATGTGACCGTGCAGGTTTTAGTCCTCCAGTTCTCAATTTTTACACTGTAAGAGTACATGTGACATGAACATAATGTAATCTATTTAGTACT